ATTCTTCATCTTCCTTCTCCACAGAGAGGCTTTTCCACCCTTGGGGACACTGGGATTCTTATGGGTTTCTGATTGAAGAAAAGAAAAGGAGAATGGATCCTTGTTGGCTCTGCAAAAGGTTACAATCTGTTTGCAGGCAGGACACTTTTGCAGTGACTTCCTTTCAGCCTCAGTCCAACATACATATTTGATGGATGAAAACAGAGACATGGACCCACTGACTAGGATGCTACCTCCAGGAATAGGCAGGAGCTGGGCTTGGAACTTTCCCCTTGATATAACTTGGCCTTTCTTACCAGTGGAGGAAGACTCATCATTCTTTCATTTATGTGCCCAGTAAGCTCCTGCTGAGTGCTGACTCTGAGTGGAGTTTGTTATTACATCCACGGGAGACACAGAGAAGAATGAAGCCAGGTGCCTCATACAGCTGAAATTCGGAGTCTAGTAGAGGCCACTGAGCACATGGACCATTCCTGCAGGAGTCTTATCGTGAATTAGATGCACTTCCAGGCTCAGGGGCCCACATATGTTCAGCCCTTCCAAGGTCCTTGAGGCTTCCAGCAGTGTGTTTACATGGTCACTTGTTCTTAAAGAATGTAGATGTTAGATATTTTAACCACAGACTATTAAGCTTATGGCCATAGTATACAGTTAAGTTTCACCAAGCTCAGTGACTCAGCCTGTAATCCCGCGCCTTTGGGAGGCTGAGATGAGTGGATTGCCTGAGTCCGTGGGTTCGAGACCCGCCTGGGAAGCGAGTCCTCATCTCTACAATAAATCAAAAAATCAGCTGGGTGTGGTAGCACTTGCCTGTAATTCCGGCTACTTGGAAGACTGAGGCGGAAGGATCGCCGGAAGCCCGGCAGGTCGAGGCTGCAATGGCCGGGAGCAGCCACTGCACTCCAGTCTGGGTGACAGAGTGAGACTCCAATTCAAAAAAAAAAAAGTGCAAGCCGGGCTCGGTGGCTCAGCCTGTAATCCCGTGCCTTTGGGAGGCTGAGGTGAGCGGATTGCCTGAGCCCGCGGGTTCGAGACCCGCCTGGGCAACTTGGCGAGACCTCATCTCTACAATAAATCAAAAAATCAGCCGGGCGTGGTAGCGCACGCCTGTAGTTCCAGCTACCTGTAAGGCTGAGATGGAAGGATCGTCGGAGCCCAGCAGGTCGAGGCTGCGGTGGCCAGGAGCGGCCACTGCACTCCAGTCTGGGTGACAGAGTGAGACTCCAACTCAAAAAAAAAAAAAATAGTGTTACAGCTAGAACTGTGACTGCTTAGCTAGACGATAGCCCACATTCCTTGGAGTTAGATAGTCATCTGACCAAATGCTGACAAAATGGAAGGTCAGAACTGCGGTGTGTCACTTCCAGATCTGGGCTTAAGGCTCGTGACATGCTTCTTCCATGTTTTGTTTTTCTCTTTCCACTGGATAAACCCAGACATGGAGAAGAGCTGGCTCCTACCACACAGGTGATAATAAATAGCTTAGGGGGTAGCAGAGAAATAAGATGGAAGGAATCTGGATTCCCTGAACAATTCCATGAGACAGAGCTGCTCTGACCATCCAGGCAGCTCATTCTGGTGGTGATGTGAGAAAGAAATAAACTTTGTTCTTCAACCCAATGTACTGTCAGGCCTCTTTGTTAAAATACTGTAGCCCTCATCCTATTGAATGCGTTGCCCAACACTCCAATAAGCACAAAAGCCTCCAGAGAGAAACCTAATCCTAATTTGCAAAGAAACTCCCTCCTGCTGGAGCACTGTGTGACTGATGAAGAGGGAGAAAGCTCAGAAAGATTCTTGGGGTATGAAAGGACAGACCAAGAGTGGGAAGCCAATTTTCATCTTGTTCTTAAACTCTGATGCAATGATGAGAAAGTAGAAGCTATGATTTTAGAGAAATGCACACTTCAGGTAAAATTAACTTTACCAACTTTGTCTTTTCAGAAACAGACTTCCTGGTGCCAGGTATCAGAGGTATCTCATAATGGCAATCAAGCTTGCCTAGAGTAAAGGGAATTTCAAGGCCTAAGACATCATGCATTGGACAAGAATTGTAAAAGTCATCAAACTTGTAATTACAAAAGTTATGACTGCTCAGAGGGAGAGCAGGTGGGGATTCGATCTTCCAGTAAATTAGGCCCTATATAAAAGGAAGCCAAGGATCCATTGGGAATGCCTAGGAGATAAGGGGAAGTACACCCTCCACTAGCTCTAAGGAATGTTGTTTGGGAAGGTGCAGGAGAATTAGAATCCTTGTCACACCCTTCTCTAGGGGCTATGATAATGTGGTTGGACATTAGTGGGTCTCTGTGTCACAGGTTCTCCAAGACATCCATAGGTGGTCGATAAGGAAGTCACGGCAGTCATGTGCAACATCTCCAAGGAAAGGATTTAAGCCAGGGCTGTAGGGGCTACAACGCCACACTCACCTAGAGTATAGGCCCACGCCCTGTCTGTGGGGGGGTGAAGCTTTCTTAAATAAATCTTTTCTTCTCTCAATTCTTTGTGTTGCAATTCTTTGCATTTACTCCGATCTCTGGGTTCCCAGCGCAGCACCTCCAGCTTGCTGGCTCCAGCAGTGGTGCACCTCCCTGCGCCTCTCCTCCCTCTCCCTTGCTCCACCCACTCTCATCCTGTCTGTACCCTAACAGGGTGTACAGTGCAGTGTCTGATGTTGACAAAAGGGAAAAGGGCAGCTCCGAGTCCTACAGAACTGCAGATTTGCAGTGGAATATTTGCCTAAAACAATAAACTATTGAGTGAAGCTATACAAATAATCACAACTGAACAAATCACAATTAAGACAGTTTAAAAAGGGAAAATTGACCTGATACAGTCAAGAGGAATTAAGTCATTCGAAATTCAAGAGTTCTGCCACTGCTGGGCCTATGACCTTGGATATTAACTAAACTTTCACTGTGGCATCTGTTTCCTCACATGTAAAATGACAGCTTTTGATGGAATGGACTTTTGAAAAGACTATAACTTTGCTGAGCTCGGAATATGTTAGCTAACAAATGCCTGCTCAAAGAACATATCCCCTAAGTCATATATTTTTATAAACTTGAATTTTTATATGTATCTATAAGTGTGAATCTTGGTTAAAGAATCATTAGCAGCATAATGTTTAGTTACATGAAGAATACTAGTTAAAAATATTATACTGAAATACAGCTACAATAATCCATGTGAAAATCCCTATCCTTAGAGTACTACAGGAGCTCAAATGTCCAAGAAAAATATTAAAACCATCTTTTTGCCTTTCCATTAGTCTAGGCTGATCACCTGAATCATCTCAAAAACATCTTAGCCCACAGTCCTCAAAAGCAGAGGTGAAACTGTCAACTTGCTAATTACACTGATTATATATATTGAAACCTGTGGATGTTTTTCCAGACCTTTAAATGTATAAACTTAACATAAAGCAGTCCTCTCCCTAATTTTTAAAACACAAACTAAACTTATTTTGTTAGAACTGATGCATGGTCACTACTGTAGCTAAAACCTTAATGGAGATCTCTAAATTGTATACAGTGGACAAACTACCAAATTAAACACAGTCTTCCTTCCAATTTCCCTACCCATGATTTATGTACTAATGTATGTCCAAAGATCACAATTTAAGAACCCAACAGCAGCCCAAGGGACACTTGGGTGATGGTTAAAATCTGAACTTTTACAGCTGTTACATATCAGTTAAGTTGACTGTGAAGGGCTGAGGTCACAGTCACTCTATGGTGATGTAAATGTTAACTCATAATTTAAAAATAAAATGTCAAAAGAGAATCATTTGGAAAGGATGAGCCACTGAGCAATATTTGCATAATTGTAAAAGTAGGTTTTATTTCTAAAATGTTGAAATAACAACTTAGCCTCTGGAATTAAAGGATTAGAAAAGACCAGGGAAAGCCCCTTCCACCTCCCTGTTTCCCCAGCCCTTCCCTTCACTTTCCCTTGATCAGTTCTGTGCTTTTGAGTAAGGACCTTGAAACAGAAAGGGGGATACCGAGTTGACTGGGGCAAAGATGGGTCTCATCTCTAAAGGCACCTCTTTCTTCCAGCAGAGAGGTTTTTAGAAAGATTTTCACACCATGGAAAGAGAAATAGGAAATGTAGCTTGGTTCTTAACATGTGAAGAGGTCTATGAAATGCCTAATGGATCATTTTCTGCACATCTGTGACAATCCTCCTACGAACACTAGAGTCCAGCACATGGACTTCTGGTGAAGACAGTAAGACT